CTGTCTCGCCCGTCAAGGGGCACGCCATGCCAGGCTACCCACCCAGTCTTGTGGGTAAGGGGCATGCTGCTGCCAGCTCCCCTGGGAACAGCCACAGCCCCAAAGGGGAGGCAGGGGGCAAACCCATCCCAGGACCCCACGGAGACACCCAGGGGATGACCCAGCGCCAGGCACGAAGGAGCAGCGTGCCCTGGCCTGAGTGCGAGAGCCGGCCGCTGCCGGGGGCCACCTTCCTCCTCCGAGGGGCCAGCTGGGCCCCGGGACAAGAGGGAGGGAGGACAGGCACGTACCTGGCTCAGGAGAAGCCCATCTCTGCCCCGGTTATGCTTTGCTGTCGTGCCGGGCCGGAGGCCTCGGCTCACATTTCTGTGTCTGCCGGGCCTCCCGGGACCGACCAAGCCTAAATATAGTCACAGCCCGGGTGGCCACATGCGAGCGGGGGGAAGAAGGGGGGGGCTGCTGACACCACCGCTCCCCAGCGCCGGGAGAGGGCAGACACGGAGCGGCCCTGGCACCCCAGGCTCGGCTCCTTGGGGAACGGGGAGCTGAGGGGGGGGTCAAGCAAGCACAAAACTGCTCACCACCTTGACAGTGAGCGAGGGGAAGCAGGGGATAAAGTCTGCCCCGGCCCTCCGCCAGAAGAGTTAAACATTAAACGGCCCCGATTTGGAAAAGGGCGGGGGGTGGATGGACCGGTGGGACACGATGCACAGCCCTCAGTGCTGCTGGGAGACGGGCAACACCTTCTGCCCCCGAAAACAGCCTGTAATGGAGTCACAGAGACGGCTCCAGCGAGCTGGCAAAGGCAGAGGGGTCTGTCTCAGCTCCTGAGCACAGGGGGCTGCAGGGAGGCCAGAGGCAGGGGAGCAAAAAAAGGGGGGAGTGCTGGGGCTGGAAGAGCACCAGGGAGCAGAGCAAACCCTCTCCCCATCTGTACCGTAAGTCCCGAACTCTGTGGGGCTGGCTCCAGGGTAAAAACTAGGGGCGCCAGGCTGGACCGGGTACTGTTGGGTTGGGACGACGTACGTGGAGCGACCCTGCAGTGGGGGAGAAGAAAGGTCAATTACCTCCCCTGCACGGCACAGATGTACC